TGAAAAATGAAATCTTCATCTCCATAAAGCTTTTCAGCAGATGGAAGCATGAAGTGCTCCAAAATCTCCTGACAGCTAGCTGCATTGACCCTGCCCTTGATAAAACACAGTGGACCAACACCAGCAGCTGGCATGACACGCCAGTGACTGTGGAAACTTGACACTGGACCTCAAGCGATGTGAATTCTGTGTCTCCTCTCTCCCTCCAGACTCTGGGACCTTGATTTCCAAAGGAAATCCAAAATTTACTGTAATCAGAGAACATAACTTTGGACCACTCAGCAGCAGTCCCAGGCGAGATGCTTCTGACGTAGTCTCTTGTTCAAGAGTGGCTTGACCTGGGGAATGCGGCACCTGTAGCCCATTTCCTGCACACGCCTGTGCACGGTGGCTCTGGATGTTTCTACTCCAGACTCAGTCCACTGCTTCCGCAGGTCCCCCAAGGTCTGGAATCGGCCCTTCTCCACAATCCTCCTCAGGGTCCGGTCACCTCTTCTCGTTGTGCAGCGTTTTCTGCCACACTTTTCCCTTCCCACAGACTTCCCACTGAGGTGCCTTGATACAGCACTCTGGGAACAGCTTATTCGTTCAGCAATTTCTTTCTGTGTCTTACCCTCTTGCTTGAGGGTGTCAATGATGGCCTTCTGGACAGCAGTCAGGTCGGCAGTCTTACCCATGATTGCGGTTTTGAGTAATGAACAAGGCTGGGAGTTTTTAAAAGCCTCAGGAATCTTTTGCAGGTGTTTAGAGTTACGTCGTTGATTCAGATGGTTAGGTTAATAGCTTGTTTAGAGAACCTTTTCATGATATGCTAATTTTTTGGGACAGGCATTTTGGGTTTTCATGAGCTGTATGCCATAATCATCAGTATTAAAACAATTAAAGACCTGAAATATTTCAGTTGGTGTGCAATGAATCTGAAATATATGAAAGTTTCATTTTTATCGTTAAATTATGGAAAATAATGACCTTTATCACAATATGCAAATTTTTTTAGAAGGACCTGTAGGTGCAATAATAGAACTGTGATGTTTTCACTGAATTTACATTATTTTGGAGCAAAGTCTGGTTGTATGCAACGAAAGTATAAGTTGCACAGGATAAGATCTTTAAACATACATCGTAATGAAAGCTGTAAATATTTTGTCATCCTGTCTGGACGGGCTTTAAGTCGGTCTAATGCAGAAATTGGTTCAGCTGACACAGAAGCCGAATGAATAAACAAAAGGTTATCTTGGGGGGAATTTCTGTGCCATTTGCCTCTGTGTTCACCACAGTTGAGCCATTGATTGTGAAAGGGATTTTGATAATATGGGCTTGTGCGATGTTGATTGCAATCACCGGATCATGAGGAAAATTAGAAACACTCCGAGCAACAACAATGAGAAGCCACAAAAAAGAGGCTGATTTTGTCCTCCTTTACCCTCCTGCAGGACCAGAGGCATGACGCACAAAATAGAGATGAACTATAATCAAAATCATTTACTCCAAGTTGTCTAATCTGCTGTTTGTTGAAGAAATGCTGCAGTGATCCAGGAGAGATAATGTGCTCTCAGATTACAAGAAAACTACTCATGGTGTCTCTGTTGTTTATACAACTTTTAAATTCAGATGGATGATCCAGTACGTTTACATACAACATTTTTGAGGGTCAAAATATTTTAGTAAGATCATATTTTATCAGTGGGAGAAAAAAAAAAACACACTATTTTGTCTATGATTTCCACACCCAGTTCCCAAAAAGTTGGGAAGTTGTGTAAAACGTAAATAAAAACAGAAATGATTTTCAAATCTTGTAAATGTAAACCCATGGGTTTTTTTTTTTTTTTTTACAATGGACCATACTAAACATATCAATTATTTAAACTAAGCACACTGAAAATAAGAAAAATATTTTGAATTTTTTGGCAGCATCACTGCAAAGCTTTCCCTCTTCTTTGAACAAGTCTGTGAACAACAAGGAGCTGAGGAGCCCAGCTGCTGGAGTTGATTTTACTGCGTACGGTCCTGCACTGATGGTGGATTTTCAGGTGTATATAAGCTGCCAGAGGCACTTATGCACCCCTACACTATCAGAGAGGCAGGCGATTGAACTGTGTATCAACTAGCCGGATGGCTCCTCCTCTTCAGTTCAGAGGACATAGCATCTGTGGTTTCCAAACAATACTGTTTAATTTCAATTTGTCTCAGTTTATTTTAAATGATCCTCAGCACAGAGACTGTAGTTTCTAAATGCTGTTTACATACATTCTCTTTCGCTCTCGATGAAGACGGTCGCTCTCACCCTCTCTCCAGCTTTTATTGCTATCTTGTTCTGTCAACCTCCTCAGAGCCACTCTTTACACATCTTCCGAATCAAAAAATATTATGGATTTGGTCAGCTGGTCCCTCAACGCAATGGATAAGTTTTTTTTTCTACCAGACAACAGGGTGTTGGAGAACCCTCACACGCAGCTGGGTATGTCAAGGATTCCAGGGGTCAGTGGAAGTTGATGTGTCTATGCTGTCCGTGGAGGACGTAGACGATGTGTTCATTATTGGATGTATGATAACAGGGTTTCTGCTTTTTGGAATCGGAGGATAACTAGGATATTGACAACTTGGGAAGACATTGGCAGCAGTCTCGGACATGGTAAAGCTGCCAGCCTTATGTGAAGGATCAATTCATGCCTTGAGCTCTCAGACTCGTATGCTTATCGAGCTCAACCACAAGCTGGACGCGATTTCTAATCGTAGGCCACTTGCGGCTCTTAGAACTCGCCGGCATGAAGGATTTGACATTAGAGAAAGCTAACGAGCACGGACCAGGGTGAATGTCCATAAATCTGGCTGTTTGGATTCGCCATCGAGTGTACCAGCAGAACTTTGAAGGCAGACATAAATCAGAGTCTGCCTGCCCAAACAATTGTTGTTTATCTGAATTTGGCCTCCCTGCTGGCCTTGAACAGGCCAGCTTATCTCAAATTGCTCCTGGAGGATACGTAAACTAGAAGCTTTGCCTAACCCCCCTCCCACCTGAGGACAGTGGGCTTATCAGAATCGTGCCGCTGATAAACACTGTACCATCTTATCAGAAGTTTGGAACTTTCTGGAGTGTCCATGGATAACTCACTGCCTTTGTTGACCTCTATGCATAAATGTATTATATCATTTGTTTGTTGCCGTTTATGTTGCAAGCTCTTTTTTGCATCTTTTATACAGTTTGTCAATGGCGTGAGACATGATTTTTTTTGGCTTCCCCCACCCTCGTGTTCTTTTTCTTATCTGCCTGTATGTTGTATGTAACAGGTCTCTCTTGTAAATGAGTCTTCGAGGTTCAATGGGAACTAACCTGTACAAATAAAGGTCTAATAATAAAATGGCTTCTTCTTTGCGTGATTGAGATAATATCAGCATTTGTAGATGCACAGCAAACTTAACGGATAACAACTTGTAAAAGTGATATTAAAATTGCCTTTTTTTTTCCTGAAACACGTTACATTTTTTAAGTTTAATCATTCAATGCGTTGACTATAGTTCACTGTGAATGAAGTGCAACACCTAATGTCAAGCAGTGAAACAGCAGAAAGTGCAGAGGTCTTTAATATCACACCAAACCCACTGAGGGAGCAGCCCACCCCACCTCCTTTACCTCACTGAAAAGGCTACCATTGTATGAGAAGAATCACCATGGCTACTGCCAGCGAACTGTAAGCCTTTCAGAATTATTAGCATTCCTCTGTACCCTGAGCACTGTAGCAAAGCTGCTCACTTTACCATCAATCCGCCAGGAGAGAAACCCATGATTTCTTTCATCAGCAGCTATAGGAATTTACATGAGGCTGGAAATTAATTAAAGTTGAATTATGGGCTGCAGCCTATTTTAGGGCTGCTCAGGCACAACTCAACAACCATGAAAGATAAAAGTGATTGTAACCCCGTTTTAACGAGAACGATATGAAGCTTGGCCACTTATCAGGGCTTGCAAAGCTAAATAAAATAAATAAAACACATAATAAAGGCATTGTAGTGACTGAACTTATTTAAACTGCACATGTTGTCTTTAAAATATATATTTAGACATTTTAAACAAATATGACCAGTTTAAAATGTCTAAATAAATGTATTTGTTGGAAAAGTATATGGTTTAATTGTATGAATCCAGAAAAATGTAATGCAACACGCTATAGTGGAGTTTCTGCTGTGTACAAGAAAAACCACACAATTCTAAAATAATGCAACAATTGCATCTTTGTTGAGTAAGCTGTGTGGCACAATGCAGCCACTATTAGTCCCTAATGAGAAAGCCTTAACCAGCGGTGACACAACAAGCTCTGTTCTGTAGGAAACCGCGGAGCCTCCATCGGGCCTGAGACTCCTTCAATCCCTGGCACTTCTACCAATGCAGGAAAAGTAGGTCTGCTTCCCCAAGGGGGAAAGCAGGGCCTCAGTGACATTCCACTGTGTGTGCCAAAACATCTTAATGGCAACTTTTTCCCGGGAGTGTTCAGGAGCTACAGTTTAGGTTTCACGTGTCCGTGTTGTTCCAGGTACAGAAGACACGTAAACAGCTTGACCGAAACCAACCGTCGTCAGACTGGGATTTGAATAGGATGTGGAAAAGAGGTATTGTACAAAAAGGTTTCAACAGGCAGTTGCCTAATGATTCAAGGCTGCAATAACACAACGCTCTTCTTATTGTAGAGTATGAGAGTTCATTTTGGCATAAAGTTTGCATCAATAATAAAAAAAAGAGATAACTGTTGCCTTTTGCATATTTATTGTCTTAAATCAACAGAGTGCGTGTGTTGTTGTCCAGTTTTCTAGTAGAATACTTCACGTGTCTTTCTACATTTTGTAGGATGTTTTCAGTCCGTTCCTGCTGGTCTTAGAAGCCCTCAGTATCATGAAACCTGAACTGGATCCTGCAGGTTAAAAAGAGCAGTTAACATGGACACAAAACACCGTTTGCTTTTTGTGTATGCTTACAGAATATTAAGAAGCACTCAACCTTAATAATGTTAAATGGTTACCTTGGCAACTCGTTGTGGTCTGGGAACTCCTAACCAGTCACAAAGCTGATTCCTGTGTGGCCGCACTGTGGCGAGGTCGTTCTCCCTGGAAAGGGCATAAAGCAACAATTTTAAACCTGCAAAAATAATATTTAATAAATGCACTTAATGTTTCAAAGGTAACAAAGAAATACTAACCAGTTAGTATCACTGAGTAAAGTCATGACATCATCCAACACCTCTGGATCAATGACATCATCGTAGGTCAGAAGCATCTCGTACATCTGAATGGATGTGTTTTTTCTAATCTGCAGTTGTACAAAGACAAAAAGGGATTATTTTTCTGTTATAAAGGATTACAAAAAGGACAAATGTGACCTGCTTCACGTGAACACAGATGTTTGTCTTTGAGTCATTTTAGTTGCTGTTCACAAACATGCATGTCAACTCATCTTGAACATCTCCTGAACAGTTCAGGACGGAAGTGCATATTTAAAAATGGTCTAGATCAGGGGTGCCCACACTTTTTCAGCATGCGAGCTACTTTTAAAATGACCAAGTCAAAGTGATCTAGTTTTGCTGTCCAGTTTTCTAGTAGAACATTTCACGTGCCTTTCTACCGTTTGTAGGATGTTTTCAGTCAGTTCCTGCTGGTTTTAGAAGCCATCAGTATCATGAAACATGAGACCTGAAACCTGAAACCTATCAACGAGAACAACCTCGTTAGTGTTTTTACTATGTTTATTGGGGTAATAAACAAAAAATGAGCGGGCTTACAGGAGAAGGCTGTAGTTTCCATGTCAGTCGGGTTGCCAGATAATAAATTATTAACTACAGTACTATGGCTTTAAATGACAGTATATTGACCTAAACTGTCATATATGCTGAGTAAAGATATTCTAAGATGAGGTGTGTGTTGTGTTTTGTTGAACATGTGCACAGAAAAAGTAAATAAGGCATTTTAAATTTATCTGGCAACCCTGATGCCGGGCTCATCTGCAGTCAGTGTGCATGCAGCGTCTGCAAGACAGTTACGTCCAAACTGGTCAGTACACTAACGTCCCCTGGATTGTATTAGTTTTGCTCCTACATGCTGAAAAGAGTGAGTAGCAAAAAACACTCTGCTCTCTGCCATTTATTGTAACTGTTGTTAGTGCAGAAAACTTAACTGCAGCCACCTGTAGTGTAGACTTCACACATGCGGAGCATTTCGAGACCTGGACTCAGAAACCTTTGGTTTCAGAGAGAACGAGGGCTGTTGTCGTGTAAACGAACGGCCGAACATTTCACGTCATGTAAACGGGGCCTCAAACCGGCTGCTCTGTATTTCAGTCAAGTGACAAATTTCATAGTGAGGATGGATGACAGGCTGACGTCTATATTTTTAATGCCATGCAAACTACCCATAATACATTTATGACTGACTTGTAGGTCGCGATCGACGTATTGGGCACCCCTGGTCTAGATGTCTGTTGCCATGAACCTGCACATGATTGGTTGTATAAACAACATGGGACGAAAAATTTTTTGGAGATGCTGACAATGCAAAAAATAAAAATAAAGAATATCTAATTTTTTTTGTCTATATATCTGTATATCTATGTGTATGGAAAGAG